ATAAACATGGGAGGGGGAGAGAGACAAACTGGCTTCAGTTTATTCAGAATTTATAAGAACTGGACAAGCTGAACCAAGTCAGCGTGCTGGCTTGTGATCGCAGCGAAGCAGCCCAAAAGAAAGGAGGAAGAAATCCGTAAATTAGCTCCGTTTAACGAAACACTTGAATGGCACGCACACTGGCCTTCACGGCCGAACGAAATAAACCGAGCAATCTCGGCAAATGCGCTTAAATTTGACGACTTACTGAGAATAATGCATTTTGAATGAACATTTTCATGTAGTGGGAAATTTACCAGGAATATTGAAAGCGCTCGGACAGTCAGTGTGGGTATCCTGTGTTACTGTGATATTACTGGGATATGGACATACGCCGGCCCCAGGCCTACTTTTCTCCATCCTGGGCTGCATACCTCCAACTGCTACCCGCTTGCTACCTGTGCAGTGTATGTTCATCATCCCTCTGGCAGTACAAATCGATGCAAACTGATTGCCGCACTAATACTATAAACTATAAATAAGGTTTTTTTTTGGTTTTTTTGGGGGGTTCTTTTTGAAAAAAAATAAATAAATTACTAAATCTGGCGCCTTAGAAGATGAAACGTTATTCACTTTTTCCGGTCCTTACTTTTACTGTTTCCAGGACTACAGACAGGAAATTTTCTGGATTTGTTAAGCTTGGTTTTTTTTTTTTTTTTACAGAATTCCTAGGAGGAACTCTTTTAAGCTTAATAACGAGAAATTGGCAACAATTGAAACGCCTTTCATTCAACAGAAAGTAACTCAAATGGTAGTATATCGTTAGCAGCAACCGCTCGATGGTAAGATCCCCCTCTCCTCCCTCCATCCACTCTCTTTAATCTTTCCAACATAAAAAAAACTGCTTTAGCGGAAGCTAAAAACTGGTAAATGCGAAAAGATTCACAAAAAAAGATACAAAGGGGATAATTTATGTGTGCGGACGTTTGAAAGGGACTAGAAACAATTTGGAGAAATGGAATGACTAAGAAGAATTTTTGCTTCAAAAAAGAAAAAAGATTTGTTGAATTTTAAAAACAGCTGCACAAAATGTTATTCAACATCAAACGCATTTGCGCCTTGTGTCAAAAATCGTAAAATACTTCTTGGGAGAAGTAGAAACACTCGGAAGTGGCACTCTGCCAACAGTTCCTCACTCGATGGTACTCGAGTGAGGAACTACTCCTCACTCGATGGTACTCTCTGCTGCGGCATATTCGGAAGCCACTGCCAGTTTGGCCAAAAACTAAACGAAAACCCTGGAACGGTTATTCAAGCTCAGTGCAAGCAAAAGCGCTGATAAAGAAAGTGGGAAGATCAGTACGGGCCATAACGGTCCTATGAGCATCATATCAAGAAAAAGCTGTAAAAAGCCCGCGGACAGGACTATAAACAACGGTCAATACAGTCAGGGTCAAAATCGGAAGACCAGTACGGGCAGTGCAGGCCCTATCAGGATCACATTGGGGACGAGTCGGATGAAGAAAGTGGGACTGTGAGGAGATAAGCTAAAGTACGAATTAAAAATTTTTTGGTCCATTAAATGGTGTGCTTCCTAGCTCAGCGTCACAGCTACACCTCGTTAGCACAGCGCTGCGATGCTAATTTAAGACGGAAGCTGCGCAACGATCAACTCTCCACTGGAGCTACAAGAGGGGGAAATCGAGGCAAAAATGTAAGAGAAGTAGCAGAAGACGAGGAGACATCGGAACGCTGGATGCAGTAATGCCTAACTGAAATTGCAATTTTAACGTTCATTATAGCAACAACCGCTGCTCAAAATTGCATGGATCGTTGCTGAACAGTGCAAGCATGATTCGTAAAGCCTGCTTGTGAATGCAGCTGCTAGCGGTGTGAATATATTTTTTGCTATGCTGATGCTGATGTCAGATGGAGCAGCAGGCCATTATTCTGCCTGTGATGATGGCGGCTTTTGCCGACGACACGGAACTATAGAGCAAACATTTCTGCTGTGTTTCTGTGCCACTGAAATCTCAGAAGTACCAAAAATGCGTGTGAGAATGGAGGAAGACTTGATAAACCAGACGTAACAAATTGGTTTTCGGTTGAAGAATCCTTCCTGATGCGGCCCAGAAACAGAACCAGCTGTGCCAAATCGTCTTTTGTTCTGGCAACTCATTTCAAGCTCGCACTACTGTTTATGTGAGTTGCCTCAAAACGTGACAAAAAAGTTCGAAGAGATTCCGGGGAATAGAGAAGTTGGACCTCGCTGTGTTATCGAAAACTCTGCATCAACAATTTTGGCTAATTTAAATCAAACTAGATTTCTAGACCATAGAAAAAAAATGCATCTCTCGGTGCGCTACATCACATGCATAGAAACTTTAGCGGAAATGTACTTTACAGATGGTGCACTTCTTGCACAACACATAAATACTAATAGTTGTTGAGGTTATGTTGTTGGCATGTCGTACAACTGACACGTCGTTAGTACTTAAATAATTACGTGTTAAAAACATTATGTGTTTTGCTGGCATAGCAATAGAATAAAAAAATTTTGTACATAAGCACTCCTCTGAATAAGTTTTTGCCACGCAAAAGCCTGAACTGCAGCATGGCGTTTCGAATCAAAGAAAAAGCGTGCAGTAATTTGTGAGAAGCTGCCGCTGACGAGCATTTTTTTCGACACAAAATAACCATGTTCATGAAAGCATTAATATTTTACAAACAGCCAACGAAAGCGACGAAGCGAGATGAGCTTTTTTGGGAGGCAACGAACCGCCGCTACAAAGGTTTAAACCTGTGAAAAAGAGTATCGTGTAGTGCAAGCCGCAAAACAGGAAAAGTTGGTGGCAAGTCTGTCTGACACACATCCGAAGAATAAGGCAGCAGCATGAGGGAGTCGGAGCCGTCGTCCAGTTGGTTTCCATAAAACATTTTGCTACACCAATAGAGTAATGCTCGACGCACGGACCCATCCATCCAGAGCAGCAGCAGTGTGTCGGATGATGGTGATGCAAAAAGCCCGGAAAAGAATGTGATCAATCAGAATGCCAGCATACTGGTTCGCATATGTACGCGCACCTGTCCCGAGCTCGTAGCAAAGCCAGGAATGCAGCATTCCAAAACAGCCCGACAGAAAGCGAAGGGGATTTTTTCCGGCAAGTGGTGCTGATGGGCCAGGAGGAATTAGCCAAGAAAGTGACATTCCTACTAGTCAATTTTCATGATATTGCATGCTTGAACTTCTCGGTTCCTGCACTTAATTCGGTAGCAATGAGCAGTTCCGCTGCTGCAGTGTTTAGGAAATCGGAAGTTCGATTCGGCCCACTGAGATAAACCAGTCCCGCAATGATTCTGATCGTCATCTGGTACTGGTATATGTGCTAGGGGGATCAAACTCGTCATCAGCTTTCTTCTAAGCAATCCTCAACAGAAGAGGAACTCATTCATTCACCCTCTCTATATGATACTATATAGGATTGTTAAAAATTTTTTATGCAATAAACTCTTCTCCTTATTTAAGTACTGCTTGCATGCTACTGCTCCCGCCAATTACTCTTCCAATATTTATGCTAAGTTATGCCGACAGAAGTTTGCCATCAAAAAGAACCAACAAATCGTAGAGGGCTCGTCCTACCAATAAAAGGAAAAACCTCAGATTCGGAGAGATTTTGCTTTTTTTTGTGCTCGAGCACTGCAGTGACAATGTAAATTAGTAAAAGATATTAGGCGGGATAAAAACCAAATGTTACAGATGAAGACATGGTAATAAATGATGATTCGCGGAAAACGCTGATTCCCGGAGGAGAAATTAGGGTCATCAGGATTCATTTAGGAGAGTTTTTTGCCATGCCATCCCCGTGACGTTGTCATAAATTTTGATTAAAAATAGCAGCAAAAAGAATTTTGAGCAAAATAGAACCAAAAACAAATCAAAATCACGCACTGGCGCGATTATCCAAGATTTTTGTTAGTACACAGTTGCTTAATCATTACTGTATTCGTCAGGCAGACATTACTCCCTATGACACAAGCTTGGCCGCAAAAAAAAAACACGCACTTTAGAGAAAAGTGGAAAAATTGGACATTTTTATAGCCGAAGTGATTAAGAAATTAAAAAAAGTGAAAGAAAAAATAAAACAAAACTTTTTCATTTAGACTGCATTTCCCGAACGAAGTTAAAATTTTCATGCAAATTTTTTTGCGTATAAGCCAAACATATTAAACCGGTCGAATCAGTAAGTCAAAAGCCAAAAAATTCTATGAAAGTTCGTATGCACCCCCTCCCCCTGCCTTCTCCGAAAGGCGAGGGACACAGAAGAGGCCCAACTCATGCATTTTCACGACTGCAGTTGCGCTGGCTCTATGGCGAGATTACATGCAAAAAAAATACTGTCACACCGAGACAAGATAATAGTCTAAATTTTCGAGGGCATTGCGTTTATCATAATTTCGAGCCTGCGACCTGCTTCATTTCCATTTCACAGGAACATATAAGGAAACGAAATTAAAACTTCAGCCGCACTACACTCCGCGGAAAAACGTTGCACATAGAAGTAGCCTTAGAAGCCCATCTGATGATCACTGATAAAAAGATTGTTTGAAAGGATTATTAAAAGGATTATTTTGAGGACTGTTTAAGAAGCAAGCTGAAGGCAGTTGGACACCTCAAGCCCCTCAACCGGACGGCACGAGAAAGTTCAAAAGGGTCAAAGCTTTCTTCCTACTTACTTAAGCAGAGGCAGTTCGAAATAGCCTGAGAGTAGCAGGTCCTTACCTTTCTCATTGTTTTGTTAATGGACAAGGTAATAATGGCAACAGTTTGATTATGCTAGTAGTCGTTTTGTTGTATATAGTCTTTTAGTTATGGATTGGAAATTCCTCTTAATCCTTGTTATTATAGATAGGATTAATGCTGCACTGATACTCCAGCTTGCAGCTTCGCTCCTTCCACAATGAAAGTATTTACCGATACTTATTTCTAAGCTAGTAATTGGAGGATGAGCAGTGCTTTTAGTTCATTTCGCTTCCCACTTACAACACTGCACGAATTATTCGATCAACAAACAAAACCGAAACGCAAAACGTTTTGTGTACTCATTAGTCTTGAAACACCTAAATTTGAGCTTTTCGAGATTCGAAGGACCACAGATAAACGGGTCGGACCACTATCACAAACAAACAGCATTAGCTCTTCCATCTCCTAAGACGTCTTAGCTTAAAAAAAAGAAAAGATTCGCAGAGCAGTTTTGTTTGGCACAAATGCCGCTTTATTTTGCATCGAAAGCACTCAAGATGATGAGATTTGGTGAAATTTCAGGAAGGCACGAATTTAGGTCTGCGCACCCCAATCTCTAATCCATAATCCCAAAATGTCCCATCGAGCAGCGTTCAGTCCCACCAGCATGTCCAACTTCCTGCTACTGCTGCTGAATTTGCCGTTCCACAGAATGCAAAATTTTTCTCGTACTGCGACTTTAAATTTTAGCAATTTGTTGAATAAGTAGTAGGAAGCGCAGTACGGGCCGCAACGCCCTATAAGCAATAGAAAAAGCTGTTAAGAACCTGCGAATGCGCCAATGCAAGGCACTTTGACCAGTCCGCTATTCATAGCTGGTTCACTGACCAATGGTGCACAACACCTCATGGTCAGTCTTCTACAAGCGACCCTTCTAAACCCATCCATCCAGCTCCGTAGAATACGGCACTGCTAAACGTATTTACAAAATGAACTTGAATCGCTAAAGCAAAAAATTTTGTGAAATTTTGGGGGAACACTGCAGTAACGAAAGAAAGGGAGGACGGTGCAGAGCAAACGTCTGCTTTTTTAGGGAAATATTTAGCATGCTGAATCTGGTCTTCCGCTTTTTCAGCGTAGGATGATTTGAAAAACAAGAATTTGAGCTTTGGCTACGCCTAATCAACACTATGTCGAAATTTTGATTAAAAACGCAACTTCAAATTAAATGAATTGCTTAACACCCCCTCCCCCGTCATCCCTCCTCTCCTCGTATTAAAGTCTTCCAGTGGGAAGGAATCAAATTTTACGAAATCGCAAAAAAAGACAAAAAACTGGAAAGGAATAGTGACAAATTTCTTTTTTGTGAGAGTAGCACAATCTAAAGAAAAAGAAGGAAGAAAATACCTGTGAAAGTGGTGACGAGGGGCACTGTAAGCTGGGTTTCGGTGGCAGCGGCGGTGGCGGTGGTCTGGATGGGCGCGGTGAATAATAGATCGGTGGTGACTGTCCACCGCGCTCCAGCTGCTCAAATAGCGCCTTGGTGTGCGTGAACCTGGATCGTGCATCCTCGCACAGATCAAGTTCTGGCGGTAATACTGACATTTCTGAGAGCCCGTACTTTGAGCCTACCGGTCCGGACAACCAATCACCACTGTGAGGCGCTCCGCGTTGCTGTGTCCAAATTGGGCCGAACAGAAGTAATGACTGCAATGACAATCAAAATATCGGCAAATACAGATCAAAATTAGTTGCTGCCGGCTCGAGAAGGGCAGCCGATTGACGAATTGTCGGCTCTCTGTGAGAAACACTGCCAAGAAGTGGGAAATTTTAGTTCGAGAATTGAGAGTGCGTGAAGGACGTAGATGTGATCAACGGGTGCGCCGGTAAGGATACCGGTACACGAGTACAAGTACGGGTACAAGTGCAACGGGTACTCGGTAAGCGGATGATGATGACGATGGTGATGGCGATGACGATGACGACGATGGTGACAGCAATGGCGACAACGATGGGCGACCTGATGACCAACTTTGCAGTGCCATCACCAAGACATATTTCTTCTTGATTTGTACATATTTGATGGAGGCTACGATTTCTAGGCCTCCTCCTCCTCCTCCTTTCAATTTCCTTATTACGCAAAAGAAAGAGGCGTGCGGGATCAGATCTCACCGGATCGAAGCATTTCGTGAAGCAGCGTTGATAAAACAAGATGATGTTTCGTTGAAAAATTATTTCGGGAATAATATCCGGAACTCCGCGACGAGAGTTTTACGGGACTGAGCAAATCCCAGCCTTTACAATATGAAGCACAGATATGTTGTCGTTTTTTTTTTTCTTTCGCAAAAACTAATAAATTCGTCGTAATCAAATCGGAATTTCAATCACTCGTCTCCGTTTATTACGGTACCTGCAATACAGGAAATGGATGAATGAACTGTTATGCAATTCTAAGGGGCGCAGAAGGAGAAAGGGGACCACTGGGGGAACTATGAGAGGATCGGGGAAGGGGCAGGGGTAGCGAAGGCGTGGATGAAGCGAAACGTATTCTGGTAACAGATAGTGAAATGATAGTGCAACACTTCTCCACTGACCGCTGCCTCACTATTATCCTCACCTTTCGCGATTTATTACAACGCACGCAGGCAAGCGTCAACAAACTTTGAGAGAATCATATGTTGAAGGGAATTTGTGGTGAAATGGTGGTGGCTGGACAGCACTGCCCAACTGACCACTACATTTTCGGCCGCAATTCTCCTGCACAACATCTCACAAATATCGCAAAAACTGTACAAAATGTGTATTTTACTATAAAAATAATGAATATACGCGAGATTTTTACGGTTGTTGGTACTCATAGCAGCGAAAACAACCAATTCAAAGTCCATGGACTTTGAGGGCATGCCCCCCCCACATGGATTCATGAACCCCAACTATCACGCACTTTTAAATTTACAAATTCAGGTCAGTTCCTAACTCCGTGTAATTATTCAAAATCTGACCTTCTTTTAACTTTTGCGATTGGCAAGCATTACTACATTCCCCTGCCCACAAAACAGAACTTCTCCAACCCTTCCGCACCCCTTTGCTTGCTGTCTTCCCTCCCCCTTCCTCTCCTCCCCTCGCCTCCTTCCCAAAAAAAAAAAATCTAAAAATCAGAGGCAAGAATTGCCAGTAAAAAGAGGTAAATTTTTTTGGGTTAGAATCTTCTGAGGGTTTTTTTTAAGTGGCATATTAATGACGATCTGGTTCTTCGAGAAAATAAGCATAAATGTAAACGAAATTACCAGATTATCATCAAAATGAAACGGCAAAAAATCGCAGAAACAGTTTGTTCTAGTGACGGATTTGCAAGAAAGATAAAGCTTCATGCAAACGCACAAGAGCACTGCTTGTTATGGCTCTCTGTTGATGGCATGTCAAAAGTTGGAAATAATAGACCAAAAGGACTGTACTCAGGCGTCATGTATAGGGTGATATTTTACGGTGCAAACTGTCTTTTATCGTTCAGATGTAGTAAGGTGATATTTTGCGATGTAGTCTCTGTGTTTCATCCCTTAGCTGTAAACACAGGCCAGACTATGCATGGGGGTAGGTCACATATTTTTCTTTCTTACTGCTTAACGATACTTTAATTAGCTTCAATTCATAGTCAGGTTCCCTAGTTGCCTGGCGATAAACCTAAGTTGACGATTCTGGCGTTGTTTGTATTATGATAACACATAATAAGAGCTAGGTCACAAACCCTTGCTGTATTCGCCCCGTGTGAGTGGCGGAGGGAAGTAGCACGTGTGGTAGTAAATGCCAGTTGCACTTATGCTCTGGCAAGGCTTCTGGTAGTTTCCTCTTCTGAGGGAAATATCGGTAGCAAGCTGATAGTGGGACGGATAATCTGGCATAGCATGTCAGTACCAATTTACTACTGAAAGGAACAAACGAATCTTAGAAAGACTGGTTGACCCATCGGCGCTGGATTTGATCCCCCAGACTTGACGACAACACTGTTGATTGCCACTGCACTGTATTAATAGCACTTTTTATGCGTTTTTGCCTATATGCAAATTGCAACACCAGGCGAGCCGGTGCGATCATGCGTTTTTGCATCAAAACTAAAGTAAAAGTATTGCCCGAG